GGCTCGCGCCACCCCCTTCTGTGTATGAAGGTTGGGTCTGCATTAGACACAGTAGCGTGGAACTGTAATTTCTTAATAAGTTTGGATTCGTATAGCTGACAAATTCCCTGTCCTATAACTTTTTGTAGTATTTATGGAGACTGTCAACAAAGTCTGTAAATCTCGAAGTCTGTAAACTTCTGTGATCTGGACTCAAATCCCACAGCATCTTGGTTGACCCCGAGGTCCTTGTCTCGGATGGCAGCAGGGGCCCAAACTGCTCAGGCTAATAGCAAGTTATGTAAGGATTTGCTCTCAGAATTGTTGAGAGGTCACAAGTGCTGCTGAATTCTACACTAAAGGAATCATACGTGTCCTGGTGACAGAGTTCCCATCCAATGTTCCCATATCTTGTTAGACATAATTTTATTTTTCTATGTAAAGATCATACATTCTAAGAAAAAAAAAAAGTATTTTCAGGAATATTGAAAAGCACAGAAACAAAAGTTTGTTTTTCTTCTGATTTCAGATTTTGTCACCTCAAACTACATTACAGTCCAGTAAATCGAATTTTTGCTCACATGTTGCTGCCTTTTTTTAGATTCCTTTTCAGTTTGCATTAAGCTTGGGTATATATTTGAGATCTATTGTAGGGTTTTGCTTGCTGTCCAAATATTACTACTTTTACAGAAATGCATGCCTAGGCAAACTCAAGTGTTCAAGACCTGCCTGATTTCTGCAGCTAGGTGGCTTCTTATTCTTGGTGTTTGTGGTTCAGGAAAAGGAGTGCCTGAGAGTGTGTGTGTGCGTTTGGTTACTGTTGGAAGACATGAGGAAAAAGGGAAGAGAAAATGTAGCTTCTTCTTATGTTAGGGTCAATATCACACTTCACAAAAGTATAATTTAAGACTTCCTTCCTTTTATTCTTCTGCCTGAGTTTTGACAGACTAAGAGCCACAGTAGCAAGTGAGCTAAGAAAACAGTCATGAGAAAAAATAGTCCAAGTGTTACTTAATCTTTCACTGTTTTTTTTTTTGTTGTTCCGTGCTCATATTGAGAACTAACAGGCAATTTATTTTTCCCATATATATATTTTTTTTAATTAGGATTTTAAAACTTTTGAAGCAAAAAGAATGAGCAATGAAACATGATAGATTTTTCCTACCAGTTTTGGTATAATTTGCCTGTGAGTGATCTGACACTTACAGGTAAAAGTTAAGTTCTTCAGTTAGGAAAAGTAAGAAACCCTTTTTTTTTAAGTTAATGAAAATACAAAACATTGTCTAATGTGAATGTCTACAGTCCTTTTTATTATCAACTGAATAGATCTGCAACTGAGGCAAAATGTTTTACTAAAACATGTGGTTTACTAATACTATTAATGCAGAATGAAGAAATGAATCCCCAAAGTAAATTTTGGAAATGAAAAACAGAACAGTTACTTTTTTGTTCTACAGAATAAATGTTGTATTGTGTGTATATAGCACTTTAGTACAGGTTATTCTGTCCTGTAAACTGCAGTAGAGGTTTCATTTGAACAGTGCGCTTAGGAGAAATTCCTCTTGCGCTTGTTGTTAATTCCATTTTGTTCATAAAAATGTAAATACAAAACCTTTGGAAAATATATGCGCTTCAGTTTTATGATAGTATGAGTGGTTTTCCATTTGATTAGTCTTGTGATCACTGACAACTGTTTGGGAAACCAAGGTGACACCATTCTTATGCTCCACTGTTAGCATGCTTGAGACATATCTGTATATTTACGTAAAACACTCATGCTTAAGGCACTTGGATTTTACTACTTTTGGTGGTGACATTTAATGCCGTTTATGTTACTAGAAAAATGTGTAAACAAAGGCAAAAAAACCACACCTACTGTTCAATGCAGTAGACTCAGGTTTATTTTTCCTAAATGGAGAAGATCAGTTATGAATTACATTTAATTAATGTAGTGTTTTACAAAAGATGTTGCTGCTGTTGGTTTTTGGAGGTTTCTTTTTAAATGAAGGACTCTTGTAAAAACATTAAATAGAATTTTTCAAAATTGTGTGCATATATATATATATAAATGAGAAATGTTTGCCGTGTTCAGATATTGTCTTCGAGTGACCATCTGAAGCTGATAAAGGCTTATTTCAAAAGCTTTCCCCTTGCTAACATCTTTTGAGTTCAGTATATGGCACTGCTGTCATAGTCTTTGTAGCACAGCTACTATTAATTTATTAGTTATTTGAAATTTAGGCTCACTTGAAACTCAACGTGGTACTTCAAATAATGGGTGTAGTTTAAATAAATGCAGCTTTGAGGAAAGTAAATGGAGCCGATGAGTATATCGGTGCCTTTTCTAGATACGTTTTATTTTTGACAGAAAAATCTCAGCAAGTAATATTTTACTGAAAGCATATTATCAGAATGAAAATGCATTTCAGATTTTTGCCTTTTCAGTGAAAGAACAGTTTTGCAGCGAAATAAAAGTGAGAATGAGGAAGTAGATCCTACAATTAATAATGGTTGGTGGCATTCACATGTTTGTCTTGGCTAATGAAAGTGTGTGAAAAATCTTTGTTTAACCAACATAATTAAAGATTGTTCATGTCTTTGATTGTGAAACGTTGTGGTGTTTTCGTATATTGCTGTGATAATGACTCCATAAATACAAGTAAGGAAAAACTTCCTTCTTAAGCAAGTTTTTCCATCCCTTTTGGTCCATCAGATCCCTTGCATCTTTCTGAAAAAATCCATGTTGGCCTAGATCTTATGTGCTATTTCCTTGCACATCAAGAAGTCTGATAACTATATATTCTTGTTTTGAGTTTGAAGAATCTCTTGGTTTCATTTGTTGTTTAATATTCAGTCCGCAAAGAAGTGGATGAAATTTGAGTTGCAAATACAGATATGTAGTTCTGCAATGGGCAGAGATAAACTTTCAGACTAATCTTGTTGCCAGGTCAGTGGTCGTTACACCAGCATGAAAGATGCATTGATTTAACCCGTTTCGTAAGGTGTTAGGTCATTCTACTCTCCTTAGTATCCTCTGTTCTTATCCTTGGAAAGGAAGAGGTCTTAGTGGCTTCTTCTTCGTCCCCTCTTCCCTGACCACAGCGCATTCCTCTGGTGCTCGTCAGACTGTTTCGTGAATAGGTTCCATTTGCCAATGGCACAAAAAGCTCTCCACTTCTTCTGCAGGATTAATCTTTGCCAGATTAGCGAGGTGAGGTGCCTCGCAGTGAAACCCTCCACCCACCAAGGTATGGCAAGGGGAGCAGCAGGACTTCCTCCGTGGGATGGATCCACGGACACCTCCAGCTTGGCAGCCGCAAGCCATTAAATTCCCTCATGATGTAACTGGTGGAAAAAAAAAAGGCTGTAGAAGCTCTGCACAACCAAGATATGGTTGTCAGTTTAGTAACGTGAAGATGAAATATTGAAAGGTCTCTTGTTTAAACTGACTTCTTGTATTAAGCGTTTGCTGTTAATAAGAATAAGTATTTGTTGGAAATCTTTTTGTGTGTTCTTGATTAGTCATGCATTTAATTTTTTTTTGGTGGGGAGCATTAAAGCATTCTTTTACATTTCTTTTTTTTTAAACGGATTTTGAATATGGGAAAAATATATTCACTTTCTGTATAGTGATTGTGTTGTGTGATTGAATCTGAGGCATTCAAAAAGAGTGTTCTAAAACAGAGGCTTTCAAGTGTCTATCATGGTGCAAGCAGTGCTATAATTCATGGCTTGCATGAAAGTAGGAGTCAGTCCTGAAAGTTTTAGAAACCACTGATTATGTGCTGATACTTTCAACCGTAGGTCTTTTTTTTCCCTCCTCTACGTCTAGAATAGACAACAACTAGAAATAAGATGCTGATTTTTTTTTTATTAGCTGCATAAAATAAATACATTGCGGACTTTTACGAAAGTCTTGAGCTTTCTGGTTTGTTTTCTTCTGAAAAAAAAATGTGTGCTATCATTTGAGCACTCAAGATTGTTAGGTTGAGTGCTGCTGTCTTTCTTTTCTCCAGGCTTCAAATCAGCTTATTTTATCACCTACTACTGGAGCATAAATATTGTCTGTCTGGGATGTATTCAAACATGGTTCTCTCTTGTTTGGACTTGTAACTTACTTGTCCTCTCATCATGTTTCTAGGTAATCCGGCTGGGGGCCACCCCTGTCAGCCTGGGCTTGCTCTCCCTCCAGGTTTATGCTTCCTCTTCAGAGAATGAAACTTCCAAAAAGGAGTTGCTGAAAATTGATGATGTAAGTATGGTTAGAGCCCAGTGTTGTTCTTCCAATGAAGAAATATTTGCAGAGTTCTGAAAGACCAAATATATTTTGAAGAGCAAATGTGTTTGGGTACATCTTACCTTTGTATACTTGTGTTTAAACTCAGTTCTGTATTTACAATAACAGAAAAATCAATGTGGTAATTGCATTTGATGACCTCTGCTTGACAGTGTTAGGCCTGCTCACATGCAACATCTTTTTCATACATTAAAGCTTTCTGTTCTTTCAGAAATTCTTTTCACCTTCATAGGTTTGCTTGAAATCATGTTTCAGATCCACAGAAATATCTTCTTTGCTTCTTATGCAGATAATGTCGTGTGTTTTTATGACAAATACTGTTGTCTAGTTCTGTTAAAATTTCATTTTTGGTCTCAAGTGAAACAGCAAAAGCAGAGGCTATTTCTAAAAGTGCATTTTGAAGTGCATTAAAAGTGCAGTAATTTATTCTGTGGTTCAAAAATAAAATTCCTTGGCTGGTAAGACTTAAACTATTATAACCTACAGGCTACATTGCCTCCACACAGAATTACGTCAATTTTCCTTGTTCTGCAGCATTAGGACCCAAGTAGCAACATGTATGAAAAGTAATGATATTTTAAACCTGTCACTCTTTCATTAAGATATTTCAGCTATCTTGGCTGTCTTGCTACTGCAACTCTAAAATACCCTGTCCCCTCTCAAACTTCACTGTAATTCCTTACCAGTATTGTTGCGCACACTTTTAACAGATGCAAACATCAGAGAGACGTATTTTGTAGTTTGTAACTAAATACAGCCCTATAGCTGTGGGAATTCATGACTATTTTAAAATTATTTTAGCCCAATTTTAACCCTGATTTTTAACCCATTCTTTCATGCAAATATAAAGCGTATTTTTCTGCAGACTTAAGTCTTTCGGATATACCTGCATGAGCAACTCACTTGCGTAGTGTGGGAACAGTACTAGCTGCACCCCGGAGGAGGAAGTTTAGCTTGGGTCTTTGCGTGCCCCGCGTGAGTCGGTGGTGAGGCAGCAGCCTGGCTTGCACCCGTGGTGAGAGATGGGCTTGCGGGCAGCTTGCGCAGCGCCCGTGCGGCCGCGGAGCGCCGGCCGCCTCCCGTCGCGTGCCAAGGGCGGCTCTACAGCCTCATCCTGCGCAGGGAAGTTGGATTCTCTCTGAGGCTTCTTGCCAGGTGTCAGACTTGACTGGGAGCTTGTCTAACAAGATAAAAAGTTCTTAAGAGGGCAACTGGTGGTGATTATGAGTGCCAAAGGTAGCCAGATTTCCTAGAGAAATTAGACTTAAAATTGTTTTTTTATAAAATATTGTGGGAATCCAACTGTGGAAGTTGTCAAATTATTTTTATGTTCACGTCAGTGTATCTTTGATTAACAACTTTTTTTACTATCATAGATAATTGTTACCAGTTTACCTTGCAAAGAGTGCACTTTGAAATAACAATATGTTGCCTCAGTATCAACATTAGTTTACACTATACTGCAAAATATAGTATAAAATTTATACTGAACACTAGTTTAGGATAAAATCAATTTTAATCAATGGTCTTTGTTTATCTATTTTTTTCTATTCCACTTCAATAATACATACTTATTATTATTATTGTTATTTTAATTAATGGAGTACTACAATCTTAAATGTGCTCAGGTAATTGCAATAAATACATTGTGTGTCATGCCCCAAATAAGATGTTTTAGTATTTATTGTGTGAAGATGTCCATTGTTTCTTAGGTGGCTGTTACAGTTCCTGTTTGCTGATATCATCCTTTTGGGGCTGTTAATGCTCTCAGTTGCTTCGTGACAGTTGGTTAATGACTGCAGCCCTGGGAGGCAGTACAATTAAACAAGCAAAAGGGCTGGGATGTAGTTCAGTAAAAAATGGCCACATTTGTACTGGATGTTACCTTGGTTAGGTAACTACTAAGACTCTCTGATAATGGCTTGTGCAAGTATAAGAAACAATTGATTGTGATTTCAAAGTTCTAGTACATTTAATGTGTTAGGTGGGAACCAGAAGTGCTGATTAAGACTAAAAACATTTCTTGCAATTATGTCTTGAGTTCTTATGAAACTAGTTTAACATTAATTTATAACCCGTGATTTAGAACGTATAGCAGCTACTTTGGATGAATTGCTTAGCAATTAGAAGTCATCTTGATCATAATGTGTAATTAAACTTTGCTCTTGATAGTTGTCTCACAGCTGTACTTGTATTTTTATTATGCTTTATTTAGGTAGTAAGC